GCCCGGCGCGGGGCGGCGCGGCATTCCTTCCGGGCTGCTGGGGAGGCGCCTCGACGTTCCATCTGGAGAGCCTCGACGTTCCGCCCGAGCCCGGCGCGGGCGGCCGGGGCGCTGGCCCGGCCCTAGGACTGAGAGGCCGCCCGGCGACGCGGATGCGGAGCCTGCTCGCCCAAGATCAAAGCCACCGGTGCTCTCTTTGTGTCCGCTCGGGATTCGCCGCCCTGGGGCTGTCCATGGAAACCTAAACTGCTGGAACCCGAGGCAGAGAACCCTTCTTTGGCTTCTTGCGTTTTTTTGGGGGAGGAGGGTGGCCACTCCGACCTGGATTTACCGTTCTTGGCCCCCCTAAGCCCCCCCGTGCGGGGGGCGGCTGTGATCGCTCTGGCGGTTGGAGGTCGGGGAGCGGCCCGGGCTCTGGCCATGTTCTCGGATGAGGATTTCTGGATCGCCCTGTGAAGAGGTGAGTGAAGTCTGCCCGGCCAGGGCCCAGAAAGGGTTGGACTGGGGGCATAGCCAGATGGACTATCTTGGCCGGAGCTGGCCTTTAGGTTGGAGAAAGGGGTGCCAGAGCTGAGGAGGGTTCCTTTGGCAGTGTCTGTCAAGGCAACCTGAGCCAGTCGCCGGGGCAGAACCGAGGCCTGGTGTCTTGGGGTGTGCCTCTTTAAAGACTGGGGGTTCAGGGAACCACGGGAGTTTGGGAACCTGGCCAGATCGCCTTTCTGCCTGTTTATTTTTGTGTTGGGGGGAGCTCTGCTAAACTAGGACCCAGGCCCTGATGCCAGCACCAATCCCAGTTGGCTGCTTCTCCCTCAGGGTTCCTTGTGGGCCTTGGGAACAGAACAACTTTGGGAGGGAGGATAGAGTGCCACTGCCAGGTCAGACTTACTGCCAGGTTGGACTTTAAGGTTGTTCTTGCCCATCCGGGCACCCAGAGCAGTCTCTGGGAGACTCCAGGAACCCTAGATATTTCACCAGGCCTTATTTCACTGTGCAAAGGGAGAGTGTGTGGAAATTAACTAGTGTGATGAAGGGGGTGGCTGGGGCAAGAAGGAGGCGGGGCTGGGGGCAGCTCTGGCCTTGCTGTTCAACTTTAAACTGCCCCTGCCTGACAAAGTGACCCCAGCAAGGCCTAGTGCTGTCTTAGCCTGCTTTGCCTCCCCTCCTCTGGGGATGGACATAATCTCTAGGGGATTATAGAGTAGGCCGTTGAGATTTGCTCCCTGCGAATGTGGGCTGCAAAAAAATGGCTTTTGTCTCCCGCTTTCTCTGGGCCTAGTGTGGAGAGCTGGTTGCCCATAAGTCCTGGCCAATCCCATAGGCCCCTCCCAGACCTCTCCAAACCCTTTTCAATTAGGGAATGTTAACTGGTCCTCAGATCCTGTCCTAAGCCTACAGAATAGTGTGGCCTGTCCCTCTTTGGAGGAGAAATGACCTGATCAAGAGCTGTTTCAGCCAAAGCCTGTGTTTCCAACCCTGGCAGGAGGTGTTGGGGAGAAGGGGTGTGTATGTGAGTGCATGAAGGTGCAGCATGAGCCTCATGCCTCTGAGCCCTGGGCTGGGACAGCCCCTCTTACAGCTGTCATGCTGCCCAGCAGGGATTTGGCTGGTGTGTTTTGCTCCCTCACTCCACCCTGTCCAACATACATAGGTTAGATCTCTTCCAGTCTGATCTTGGAGAAAATAGGGGTTTTGCCCTTGAAAGATTTCTGGGTGGTAACCCTGAGGTGAGAGGTGCTACAGGGGTGGTAGAGTGAGGCTAGCTGTCACCCATGCTCTCTGCCACTGCTGCCTCTGAAGGGACCCTCCTGTTGTCTGTCCCCAAAGAGCTTCCTTAGGAGGGACCTCTCCTTGTTAGCTGTGGCTGACCCCAGGATGACCCAGAGACCGTCCGGAGGGTCGACGGGCCCAGTGTTGCCATTTGGATTCTTCCTGGAGGGCTGGCCCAAAATGGGGGTGGGGAGAGGTGTGGTTTGATTCTCAGGCTGGGAACCAGGAAGTCCTGAGTCCTACAGAAGAGCTGTTCACTCAAGGGCCTACTTCAGCCTTTCACCTCTCCAAGCTTCCATTTCCCCATTGGCTGGGAAAATAGAGTTAAAACTATTGGTCTGGGATGGTGTCAGGGAGGAGAGTGGGTTGAGATGAATCCCTGTCTTCTTTGCTGTTTTGGGCCTCTTAGGCCTGGGGCTAAGGGAAGCCAGCACAATTTTACCTCCTAGATCTGTACTTCTTTGGGATCTCTCGTTCCCCAGAGGAAGCCTGGCTAGGTATTAACCCAGTTTAGATCCAGGGAAAAACCCTTGGTGTATATGTATGTGTGTGTGTGATTTCTGGCTGTGAATGATGGGATGGGGGAACCTGTGGTCTTTATTTGTTTAGCTGTGTTCAGGGGCCTGGCAACTGGGACTTGGCATTGGGGCACAGGTGCTAGACTGCAGGGGTAGAGAAATGGAGCCCCAGCTTCTTGGAGGTGCCCCTAGATTGTTTTTGGCACAGCTTGGAGGATACTCTACTGTGTGCTACTTGGTCTGTCTTCCATGTCCCCATGAATGAGGCTGTGGCTTTGGAAGATGTTGATACTCTGTCTTCCAAGGCTGACGAAGGTGGTTTCTGTATCTCCCCAAGCAGTGCCAGCCTTACCAGCTTGAGAGGGCTGCGCTCGGGGGAGGGCAGAGGAATTTGTCCCTCTGGCCTTGTGTGAAGCAGTCCTCCTCCCACCCGCTGTATTATCACTGTTGCTTTTTATTTCTTACTGTTTGTGACTCCTTTGGCCTCAACTTTTGAGAGCAGAGCTGGTAGAGGATCTTTGCGGGTATGTAGTGGTAAGGAACACATTTAGGAAACTTTGAAGTCTTTGGGTGTGGTCGGGCCTTGAACGACTGCTTGGGAAGAGGGGGCTGGCTGGTACCCTGACCTCCAACCCCTACTTCCCAACAGTGGCTTCTAAGAGCCCCTTGAAGTTCCAGACCAGCTTTTCTGTGGGCCGGCCAGATGACCACCCGACTTTCCTTTCAGGTGTGGTTGTGTGGCAGGTTTGGGAAAGAGATGACCAGGGAATGGAGGTAACAGGTATCAGGTGATACTTCACTTTCCCAATCTGGTAGATTCTGAAAGTATGAAGGGAAAAAAGTAAAACAAAATTTCTTTTCCGGTGATATGTCACAGAAGGTGCATTGCTAGTCTCTGAAAATGGAGTGTGAGCTCAGGGGAAGAGAACTGATATTGTGGTTCTTAGGTAATTGATTCATCAGTCCTAGGCACTTTTGAGGGTTCCCCCATCTCATTTGCCCCAGTCACACAATCCCAGTGGCTGACCACTGGGGTAGTTGGTTTGGGAAGAGAGGCTTATCCTTACTAAGGTTGGTGTGGTCCCTCTGGTTAAATAAGAGTGGAAAAGGTGGGAGAGAGAAATTTCTCAAACTTTTATTTAGAGTTCTGTTTTAGGGATTCCCTCCTCCCATGCCCCCAGCTTCCTTAAGAACATACTTTCTTTTCTCTGCTTAAGCCCCTATCCCTCCCATTTAGAGCTGCTGGCACCTATCTCTTTCTCCCTTTTTCTTTTTTTAATTTTTTTTAATGTTTATTTATTTTTGAGAGAGAGAGAGAGAGAGAGAGAGAGAGTGAGAGTGAGAGTGTGGGGGAGGGGCAGAGAGAGCCAGAGACACAGAATCCAAAGCAGGCTCCAGGCCCCGAGCTGTCAGCACAGAGCCCAACACAGGGCTCAAACCCACAAACCATGAGATCATGACCTGAGCCGAAGTTGGACGCTTAACCGACTGAGCCACCCGGGCGCCCCTCTCCCTTTTTCTATAAGATGACTTTCTTCTTCCTCACCTCTACAACTTTGCTTTTCTCTTTTCTGTACTCTGCTTAGTTCTCTCTGAGGTTTAGGAAAATATGTTCAACGGGTGGGTCTCAACCTTCTTAGGTGTAACTTTAGATTGTTTCATTTGGCTCTGGTATATATAGTCAGGCGTATCTTAGAAGAGGGGACCGTTACCCCCCCACCCCCATAGTGTGTGTGGAAACCCTGCTTTACCGAAGAGGAAGGAAGCTACTCTGCTATGCTGTGTCCTCCCGGGTTTAGAACTCCTCTAAGTGGCAGTGTGCTTCCTGAGACTACAACTCCCAGCATGCCTAGCTTCAAGCCTAGCTACACATGCTCAGTAACTCCTAAGGCCCACTTCTGTTAACTACTAGGGACCTCTGAAGAGGAAGGGCAGTTAGTGTTGCTAAGGGCAACGACCTGAGGCCTTCAGGCTGGGTGAGATCCTGAGCTCAGTCACAGCAGGGGAGGGGGGGTGGGAGGGGGCCTGAGCTGGATTTGGATGGGCCGTGGGTAGAAATTGGGGAGTTTCTTCTTTTGTGTTTGGGATCGCCTGTTTGAAACTGGTGGAAGTGGAGGAGATCCATCCATAGCTAGGCTTTAGTCCCAGTAATGTATTCTATACCCTGTAAGACCGCAGACTCTGTCTCTGGGAGAGGGATTTTGACTGGATTCAGACTTCTTGGGTTATGGCTACCCCTGGGTTGGCACTGATGTACCCCTGGGATGGTAGCTGACTTGAGATCTGAAGAAAAAGGCCAGGGAATAGGGCACACCAGAAACCAAGAACTCAGACATGAAGCAAAGGGCAGTACTAGATATAGCTTGGATGTGCTTCTAGTTGGATGCTCTTGCCCTGGGAACTCTGACACAGGAGGTAGGAAGTGGGAAAGGGGAGAGGACCTCCTGAGAATCCAGAGCGGGAGAATAGGGTATGTGTTTATCTGGGGAGGAAGTAGGCAGTGGGTAAGGGTTAGGGAGAAAGTTTTTCCTTGTCATTAGAACAGGAGTTTGTAGGTATGGCTTTGCTCTGCTTTCTGTAAAGTAGTTACCAATAGCTGCCTTCCTCCTAGGATGCTAGGGAAAGTGTTTAGTGGGGAGACTTACTAGACATGTAGATCTTTCTTTCTGCTCTGACAGGTCTCCCCGAGAGGGCCCTGCCCAGTCGGAGAGAGGGATGGACAGCCAGAAGCCGCCTGGTGAGGATAAAGATTCAGAACCGGCAGGTGAGTAGGGCAAATTCTGGGTTTGCTGGCAGCTTTCTGCCCTTCCCAGGCAACCTTAGATTTCTGGCCCTGGCACAAAGACAGGAGCTAAGTCTGTCTAATAGACAGGTAATTGAAGGACTTTGTTCTTTGGAGCAAAAGTCAAATTGCCATCACTGTAATTCACCAAGGGTTTTGGTTAATCTCATGGGTCTGATCAGTGGACTAGTATTTATTTTTATTTATTTATTTATTTATTTATTTATTTATTTATTTATTTATTTATTTATTTATTTATTTATTTTAATTTAAGTTAGTTAACATACATTGTAGTATCGGTTCCAGGAGTAGAAATTAGTGATTCATTATTTACATATGACACCTAGTGCTCATCCCAACAACCGCCCTCTTTAATGCCCATCACCCATTTAGTCCATCCCTGCCCCCCCACCTCTCCTCCATCAACCCCCAGTTTGTTCTGTGCATTTAAGAGTCTCTTATGGTTTGCCTAGACTAGTACTATATAGAAGATGATGGCTGATGCTTGCTTCTCTGTTCATTCAGCTGATGGACCTGCAGCCTCTGAGGAGTCAGGCACCACTGAGCCAGACCTTCCCAACCCACATGTGGGGGAGGTCTCTGTGTCCAGTTCTGGAGGTCCTAGGCTTCAGGAGCCTTCCCAGGACTGCAGGTAACTTGGGGAAATGAGGATGTAAAGCCACACAAAGATTTGATTTGAGAGTCTGGACTTTCAAGAAGATTTAGGAAGATGAGTGTTTGGGAATCATAGGCATGCCAAATCATGGGGATGTTAGGGGTGCCTTTGGGCAGCGGTCGGCATGGTACTAACGCTTGTGTGTCCACAGTGGGGGTCCGGTGCGGCGTTGTGCTCTTTGTAACTGCGGGGAGCCCAGTCTACATGGGCAGCGGGAGCTACGGCGCTTTGAGTTGCCATTTGACTGGCCTCAGTGTCCGGTGGCGTCCCCTGGGGGGAATCCAGGGCCCAACGAGGCAGCGCTGCCCTGTGAGGACCTGTCACAGATTGGTTTCCCTGAGGGCCTGACACCTGCCCACCTAGGAGAACCTGGCGGTAAGTGAGGAGAGGTGGGGTAGCTGACTTGGGCAGGAAAGGGGGGTAGGGACTGGGTGGTCCTGAGCCAGTCATTACCTTTCTGCTAACTCTTTCCTTTCTGTTTATCCTTTTCCATTATAAAGGGTCCTGCTGGGCTCACCATTGGTGTGCTGCGTGGTCGGCAGGCGTATGGGGGCAGGAGGGCCCAGAACTATGTGGTGTGGACAAGGCCATCTTCTCAGGGATCTCACAGGTGGGGCTGGGGCCAAGGGATTGCATAGGCACAGGGTAGAGCGAGCAGGGCTGGTGGGCTTCTGAGAGGCTAGAATGAGAAGGGCAGTGGTTAGACGGAGGCAGAGCCAGTGCCTGACCTATTGCTCTGGGGAGAGCGGCTAGCACTGACACTTTGTCTCCACCCTGGCAGCGCTGTTCCCACTGCACCAGGCGCGGTGCCTCCATCCCTTGCCGCTCACCCGGATGTCCACGGCTTTACCACTTCCCCTGTGCGACTGCCAGCGGTTCCTTCTTATCCATGAAAACACTGCAGCTGCTATGCCCGGAGCACAGTGAGGGGGCTGCACATCTGGGTAAGAAGTCCTACCCTCTGGACACAGGGCAAATAAGGGGCCAAGTGTGCCTGGGGTTTTTGTGTGAACTTATGCCCCACTAAAAGAGATGTGAACTTTGTGAGCACAGGGACTCTTCCTTGCTTACCACGGTGTCTGCAGCGCCTAGAAGAGTGTCTCCCGTATATTGGGCAAATACCCAGTAACTATTTGTTGTTTGTTCGTTCTGTGTCTATGGAATGCCTGTTACGTAGAGAGCACTGTGCTGAGTCCTGCAAGGAATCCATAGCTGACCCATCTTCTTTGTCTCTTCCCATGCTAGAGGAGGCTCGTTGTGCAGTATGTGAGGGACCAGGGGAATTGTGTGACCTGTTCTTCTGTACCAGCTGTGGGCATCACTATCACGGGGCCTGCCTGGACACTGCTCTGACTGCCCGCAAACGTGCTGGCTGGCAGTGCCCTGAATGCAAAGTGTGCCAAGCCTGCAGGTAAGAATAGGAGGGCAAGAGAGAAGCCTTAGGTGAAGCACAGGTTAGGGTTGAAAATGAGGGCAGGAAGGATCTGTTATGTGCCCTATGTGCCTGCAGGAAACCTGGGAATGACTCTAAGATGTTGGTCTGTGAGACGTGTGACAAAGGATACCACACCTTCTGCCTAAAACCACCAATGGAGGAACTGCCTGCTCACTCTTGGAAGTGCAAGGTGATCATCCCTCTGATTCTGCCTTACTCTCCCTAATTCTACCACCTATCACACCTCATTTCCCCATTGTGATGAGTCCTGTGCTCTCCTCCAGTCTGCTTTCTGACCAGTGCCCGTTTTGCCTGCTTACTTCCCCTAGGCATGCCGGGTATGCCGGGCCTGTGGGGCAGGCTCAGCAGAGCTGAATCCCAACTCTGAGTGGTTTGAGAATTACTCGCTCTGTCACCGCTGTCACAAAGCCCAAGGAGGACAGCCTGTCAGTTCTGTGGCTGAGCAGCATCCCCCTGTCTGTAGCAGGTAAGTAACATGGACTGAAGGAGATTGGGAAGTTACGCAGTTTGGAGGTATTGAGACTGGCAGGGGCCGTGTTAAAGCAAGTCGACTTTGAGAGGGGAGCCCCAAGGTGGGCAGTACGATCCGTAGCATTCGTGCCTCACCTCAGCACGCTGTCTAGGAGCTGATAGCTGATGAGAGCCCTGGTGCCTGCTCCCCTGTACCCTCTGCAGGTTCTCACCCCCAGAGCCTGGTGATACCCCCACTGATGAGCCCGAAGCTCTGTACGTTGCATGCCAAGGGCAGCCAAAGGGTGGGCACGTGACCTCTATGCAACCCAAGGAACCGGGGCCCCTGCAATGTGAAGCCAAACCACTAGGTGAGTAGGGTTTGAGGGTTCCTGAAAATAATTCCTGTCTGTTCTGTGACAAGGGACAGTTTCTGCTTTGCCTTAAACCCTGTATTTTTGATGGAGTAGAGCTGGGCTAGGTGGGAGCATAGTGTGTTATGTCTGCAGGGAGAGCAGGGGCCCAACTTGAGCCCCAGTTGGAGGCCCCCCTAAATGAGGAGATGCCACTGCTGCCCCCACCTGAGGAGTCGCCCCTGTCCCCACCACCTGAGGAATCGCCCACATCCCCGCCGCCTGAGGCGTCGCGCCTGTCCCCACCACCTGAGGAATCACCCCTCTCTCCACCGCCTGAGGAGTCTCCTCTGTCTCCTCCACCTGAGTCATCACCCTTTTCTCCACTGGAGGAGTCACCGTTCTCTCCACCAGAGGAGTCCCCCCCATCTCCCCCACTCGAGACACCCCTGTCTCCACCGCCTGAAGCATCACCCCTCTCCCCACCATTTGAAGAGTCTCCCCTGTCCCCCCCACCTGAGGAGTTGCCTACTTCCCCACCTCCTCCTCTCCAAAGCATCTGCTTCTCCCCCCACCACCCAGAGGAGCTGTCACTCTGGTGTGTCCTCCACTCCAGTTGGGGAATCACTCCCCATGTTCTCCACCACTCACCTGAGGCAGTGGTATTCCTTTTCGCCTGTTCCCACCATTTGAAGAATTACCTCCCCTTCATCCTCTCACTCATAGATCTCCTCTCCTCCTTCTCTCTACCACTAGAGGTACTGGCTGCCTGTCCCTCACTCACTCTGAGGGGACTCCCCGCCTCCCCATGTCTCACCACACCACCTGAATTTCAGCTACTATGTCCTCTCTTACTTGAGGTATCATGTGCTTTACTTGCCTGAGGTGTCACGCCTGTCTCACCACTTGAGGAATCTCTCTCTCCTGTCCCCTACCCACCGCCCCCAGGAGAGTCTCCCTACTGCCTCTCCACCTGAGGCTTTCATTTATTCCCGCCAGCCTCTGAGGACTTCCTCCCCCACTCATTTTGCACTACCTGGAAAGATTTACCTAAGCTCCGCTTCTCTGAGGGAGCTGCTGTTTAAGTGACTCGGTCATGAGGAAGAGTTATTCTTGTTGGCATTTCGCTTCGAGGAGCTACGCATTTGCCTCTCGGATTTGAGGAAGCTTGCCCTCTCGCTCTGAGGAGCGGGCAAGCTGCTGCCAAGCGAGGAGCGCGTCCGATGCGGTCTCTCAGCTCAGGAGCTCGTTCGTCTCTCTTCGCTTCGAGGGAGCGCGCTGTTGCCCCCGTGATTGAGGGAATCAAGCGCGCGCTTGCCCTGCGCTTTGAGAAGCGTATTTGGTCTTCCGCTTTTGAGGAGACAGAGCCTGTCTTCTCGCTTGAGAAGGCGTTGCTCGTTCCTGCTCTTTGAGGAGTTGGAAAGTCGTTCTTCCGTTTGAGGAGCTCTTGCTCCGTCTCTCTCTCTGGGCCTGAGGAGGCCACGCTGTCTCTCGGGCCTTAGGAGCCACGCATTGTCCCCCCCCAGCCCGAGGAGCCATGCCTGCCCTTCCTGCCTGGAGGGGAGCCCCCCCAGCTGTCCTCCTCCCCGTGCCCCTGAGAGGATGAGCTTTTTGCCGCCAGCCTGTCCCCCCGGCCTGAGGAGCCGCGCCTGTCCCCCCAGCCTAAGGAGCCGCCCCTGTCCCCCCGGCCTGAGGAGTTGCGCTTGTCCCCCCAGCCTGAGGAACCGCGCCTGTCCCCTCGACCTGAAGAGCCCCCTGAGGAGCCAGGCCTATGCCCTGCACCTGAGGAATTGCCCTTGTTCCTCCCACCTGGGGAGCCACCTTTATCCCCCTTGCTTGGAGAGCCGGCCCTGTCTGAGCCTGGGGAACCACCTCTGTCCCCTCTACCTGAGGAGTTGCCGTTGTCCCCATCCGGGGAGCCATCCTTGTCACCTCAGCTGATGCCACCAGGTAAGGGGATGTTAGTCCCCCTTTGTCTGGGACAGTCTTAATTCTTTATAGTGCATCTAATCTAAGAGCCTCCCTTTTTCTATTTCCAGATCCTCTTCCTCCTCCACTCTCACCCATTATTACAGCTGTGGCCCCGCCAGCCCTGTCTCCTTTGGGGGAGTTAGAATACCCCTTTGGTGCCAAAGGGGACAGTGATCCTGAGTCGCCATTGGCTGCCCCCATCCTAGAGACACCCATCAGCCCTCCACCAGAAGCTAACTGCACTGACCCTGAGCCTGTACCTCCTATGATCCTTCCCCCATCTCCAGGCTCCCCAATGGGACCAGCTTCTCCCATCCTGATGGAACCCCTTCCCCCTCAGTGTTCTCCACTCCTGCAGCATTCCCTGCCTCCCCAAAACTCCCCTCCTTCCCAGTGCTCTCCTCCTGCTCTGCCACTGTCCATTCCCTCCCCACTGAGTCCCATGGAGAAGGCAGTGGAGGTCTCAGATGAGGCTGAGCCACATGAGATGGAGACTGAGAAAGTCCCAGAACCTGAGTGCCCAGCCTTGGAACCCAGCCCTACTAGTCCTCTCCCCTCCCCCATGGGTAACCTTTCCTGCCCTGCACCTAGTCCTGCCCCAGCTCTGGATGACTTCTCCGGTCTGGGGGAAGATACAGCCCCTCTGGATGGGACTGACACTCCTGGTTCACAGCCAGAGGCTGGACAGACCCCTGGCAGTTTGGCTAGTGAACTTAAGGGATCCCCTGTGCTCCTGGACCCCGAGGAGCTGGCCCCTGTGACCCCTATGGAGGTCTATGGCCCAGAATGCAAGCAGGCAGGGCAGAGTTCACCCTGTGAAGAGCAAGAGGAGCCACGTGCACCAGTGGCCCCTACCCCACCCACTCTCATCAAATCCGACATCGTTAATGAGATCTCCAATCTGAGCCAGGGTGATGCCAGTGCCAGTTTTCCTGGCTCTGAGCCCCTGCTAGGCTCTCCCGACCCCGAAGGGGGCGGCTCCTTGTCCATGGAGCTGGGGGTATCTACAGACGTTAGTCCAGCCCGAGATGAGGGCTCCCTGCGACTCTGTACTGACTCGCTGCCAGAGACTGACGACTCGCTACTGTGTGATGCTGGGACAGCTATTGGCGGAGGCAAAGCTGAGGGGGACAAGGGGAGGCGGCGCAGCTCCCCAGCTCGTTCCCGCATCAAACAGGTGAGAGGCCATCCAGCCACTGGTTGTGGTCAATGTGATGTCAGTGTCAGATGTGTGATCCTATGTCACGGATAGCTTTCTACCTGGTTTACTGAATCCTAGACTCTTCAGGGATCCTTTATTCATCCTCTTTGTTAAGGGAAATACTGATACATAGAGAGGGAAGTGAAGTGCCCGGGTTCGTAGTTACCCAGTAAGAGAATGAGGACTAGAAAGTCAGGTCTCTCTAGCCAGTGTTTTTCTCATTGTGCTGTGTTGGTCACTTTCTCCTTGGGATGGGGGCATGGTTTGAGCTGGAGCTATCTACCTGTCACAGAGAGCTTGGCTTTTCCCCTGCCCTGAGTAGGACTCCTGGGCCTTATCACCCGTCATGCTCTCTGTTCATCTCTTCCCTTCCCCCCTGAGGCTGTAGACCCAGTACACTACAGGATTACAAACTCCTGACTTGCTGTTGTAATCGTCCTCTTCCCTCACTTAGGGTCGCAGCAGTAGTTTCCCAGGAAGACGCCGGCCACGTGGAGGAGCACATGGAGGACGCGGGAGAGGACGGGCCCGGCTAAAATCAACTACTTCTTCCATTGAGACTCTGGTAGTAAGGAGAGGCTTCCCATTTCCCAAACATGCTTCAGCTGGCCCTTTCAAGATTAAACACCCTTTAAATCCTGCCAGTCCCCTGCACGCCCACCTACCTGCTTGCTAGCCTAGGGCCTGTCCAGCTATGTCTGTGCTTCTGTCCACCTGGCCCCCAGGCTTCTCTGAAATCTCTGCTGTTGGGCTGAGGCCAAGTTTGGGAGCTGGGGTGTTCTTCTGCTTCTTAGTCCTGGCTCCTGGCCTTCATCTTAGCCAGGGGTTCACGCCTCCTTCCCCCCAGCACCAAAGAGGAGAGCGGCTTAGTGGGGGCAGATTTAGCTGCCTCACTTGCCACAACTCTCTGCCTGTAAGGTTGCTGATATCGATAGCTCTCCCAGCAAAGAGGAAGAAGACGACGATGACGACACCATGCAAAATACTGTGGTTCTCTTCTCCAACACAGACAAGTTTGTCCTAATGCAGGTACTGTACTTGCCTGTGGTATAGTTCCATCCTCAGCACTGAGACCTGGCAGACCCAATGTTGGCTGGGCATATTTTGGTGGGAGGGTAAATGGGGAAGACCAAACTGAGGACCTGCTTCTGGGGATACCCAGCTAATGAGAAAACACAGTGAATCAGGATCATGTTGTTCGTTTGTTTGTCCATCCATCAAATTTCTCTTTAGTGTCTCCTCTGGGCTGGGCAGTGAGCTAGGAGCAAGGGGTATAGCCGTAAAAAAGGCAGAAATGATCTCTGCCCTATTGAAGCTTATAGCCTGGGGAATTTAATGTATGTTCCCACCTGAATCATCTCAAAGCTGATAGAATTTTGTCAGATATGTTACTCTCTCATCCTGACCAGTCTATATCCTTCTTACCTTCCTTTCACTTCTCCTTCCTTTTACCCATGTCAGGATGTACCAATTCAGATTCCCTGGTCAGATGAGCAAGGCATGATAGGAAGGAACAGGCCCGTGATAGCTAAGTGTCCTGACAATGGGGGGTGGGTTTTTGGTTCCTTGACTCCCCCCTTTCAGATTAGTGTTGTAGTTGGTTGCTGGGACTGAGTGAGATTGAAGAGGCCAGGTTGGACATTCGGGTTTCTGTGTGTTTCTCTAGGACATGTGTGTGGTATGTGGCAGCTTTGGACGGGGAGCAGAGGGCCACCTCCTCGCCTGTTCCCAGTGTTCTCAGTGCTATCACCCTTATTGTGTCAACAGCAAGGTGAGTTCAAGGCCCAAGAGGCCTGGACTGGGAAATGGGGTCAGTTATTTCTTACATTAGGCCCCCGTTCTGGTCACACTACTTTATTTAAAAAATTTTAATTTGAGTATAATTGATATTGTTTGCTTAAAATGGCCATTGGTCATGGAAGTTACTTGTCAGTCACTAGTGGTTACAAACTCATCTTGGGGCAAAGTACTTTGGAAATCATGGCGGTCTTTATTAAGTTTCTTTGTCATAGATCATGATTGGTATAATTTAATCCATCGTCTGAGTTGTGAAAACTTTACATGGCCTGGAGATAAAATATAAAATCAAAATCATAAGCACAAGTCTGCAAAGAGAAAACAGTGTTTTTGACCCAAGTGTGGTCACTTGTTTTGGAGTTTTCATTAATGCTGATTTAGAACTCACTGCTGACATTCACTAATTTGTAGCGATAGCAGGTTCTAAATGTTCAAGAAATGTTGGGGGAGATACAACCTAATTCTATCCACAGTCTTTTGGGGACTTGGCTAGTAAAAGATTGTAATGAGGTAGTGGCTGGGTGAGGCCATTCTCTGATCAGCAGAGATCCCTGGGAGCCTAAGTTTAGAGTCACTACTTTTGGGGATGGAGGTGCTCTACGTAGCCTTCCTGTGTTCAGATGGAGGTCTGGCCTGAGCACTGAGGTCCTCCAGCCCTACCCACGTAAGTCCCACCCTCCCCTAAGAAGTCTTCCCTCTCCTGTACGTCACACCCTGAAGAATTGCCATCTTCTGCCCCAGATCACCAAGGTGATGCTGCTAAAGGGCTGGCGTTGTGTGGAGTGCATTGTGTGTGAGGTGTGCGGCCAGGCCTCGGACCCCTCACGCCTCCTGCTCTGTGATGACTGTGACATTAGCTACCACACATACTGCCTGGACCCGCCACTGCTCACCGTGCCCAAGGGTGGCTGGAAGTGCAAATGGTAGGGAGACCTGGGATCTTGAGTGGCCTGGGCAGGAGATGTTGGAGGGATGCGATGTTGCTGACGTGACAGAGGCTGGGTTTAGAAGGCTGGGCTGGGTGCTTGCTTCTCAGTGAAGACGTCTCTGGATGCCTTGGGGAGGCTAGGTACTGAGGGTCTGTCTTTCTGCCCCCACCAGGTGTGTGTCTTGTATGCAGTGTGGGGCTGCCTCTCCTGGCTTCCACTGTGAATGGCAGAATAGTTACACACACTGCGGGCCCTGTGCTAGCCTGGTGACCTGCCCTATCTGTCATGCCCCATATGTGGAAGAGGACCTCCTAATCCAGTGCCGCCACTGTGAACGGTGAGGGTGTCCTCCCCTTATATGGGTCTCCTCTTCCCTGTTCTTAGCCTTGCACTGTCTGGGTTTATTTCTTCCTGTTTCCCTTCTTCCAGGTGGATGCATGCTGGCTGTGAGAGCCTCTTCACAGAGGATGACGTGGAACAGGCGGCCGACGAGGGCTTTGACTGTGTCTCCTGCCAGCCTTATGTGGTAAAGCCTGCTGGTGAGTACCAGGTGCTGGGGAGAGGGGAGCAGGGGTCAGGGCAGGGCTCTTACTTTGGGACAGGGCCTCAAGCTGCCTTGGTTTGCCCGTCTCTTCCATAGCGCCTGTTGCTCCTCCAGAGTTGGTGCCTATGAAGGTGAAAGAGCCAGGTGAGTCACAGAAATCCCGAATGCCAAGTCTGGAAGAGACCGTAGACGCTGTCTAGTCCAGCTCCAACCCAACTTCACCTCCTCATTTTCAGAGGAGGAAACTAAGATCCTCAGAGGTTGAGTGGCCTGCTCAAGGTCACCCCCAGTAGGTTAGTAGTAAAGTTATAATGAGAACCAAGGCCTCCATTTTCCCAGGCAGAGTTCATTCCACTAGGCAATGTGGCCTTTGCAGAATCTCATCTCCAGAGAGCACAGAACACAGATTTTTCTTCTCAGTGAAGGGGGCCTCAGTGAAGGGGCCTCTCCTCCTCCATCATGATGTGGGCACTGTATGCTGGCATTGGCAAGTAGGGGCCTTCTTAGGCCTGGGTAGCTAGAGAATTCTTTGGGTGAACTAGTGTGAGTCCTGAGCAAAGTCAGGCTTCTGTAGTAGCAGTCTCTGTGAACCCCTCTGGGTCACTGATGGAGAACTCAGGCCTCAGCTAGCACCCACTCGTGGCCTGTCCCCTCCAGCCCTCCCTCCCCAGTGTTCACCTCGGTCCATCTTTTGCTACTTTTGTCCCAGCTGGGGACTTAGACTGAAACTTGGAGTTCTGGTTTCTCTGGGGCCTCCATCCAGGGGCTACATGCTCTTCTCCTTTGTGCAGAGCCTCAATACTTTCGCTTTGAGGGTGTGTGGCTGACAGAAACTGGCATGGCCGTGCTGCGTAACCTGACCATGTCACCCCTGCACAAGCGGCGCCAGCGGCGAGGACGGCTTGGCCTCCCAGGGGAGGCAGGGCTAGAGGGTTCTGAGCCCTCAGATGCCCTTGGCCCTGATGACAAGAAGGATGGGGACCTGGATGCTGACGAGCTGCTCAAGGGTGAAGGTCAGGCTGGGGAATCTCAGGGAGTGCCCAAGTAGTGGGAGCACTCCCGTGAGAGTGGGGCGTTGGGTGGGTCAGCAGTGCCACTCCCAGTCCCCCTCAAACCACGGTTGGGCTTGTCCAGATGGCTCTGTGGCAAAGCACTGGGCTCTCTGTTCTCGGATAGCAGGATGACGAGCTTAAAAGGGCACGTGCTTCTGATCTTCTTCCCTCTCTCTTGTCTCTGTACACAGGTGGCGTGGAGCACATGGAATGTGAAATGAAACTGGAGGGGCCTATCAGCCCTGATATAGAGCCTGGCAGAGAGGAGACCGAGGAAAGCAAGAAACGCAAACGCAAACCCTATCGGCCTGGTGAGGCCCTGGAATGGGGAGGTGGGTGGTGAGGGACAGTTCACCAGGTCCCCGGCAGCTTCTCAGTCTCACTCTCCCTCTTCCTAGGCATTGGTGGTTTCATGGTGCGACAGCGGAAATCCCACACACGTGTGAAAAAGGGGCCTGCTGCACAGGCGGAGGTGTTGAGTGGGGATGGGCAGCCCGACGAGGGTGAGACGGGTGAGGGCTCCAGTGGGGCCTGGGAGAAGGTGGGGATTCCAGGACCTATGGGGCACTGCCAGGGAGGCCTGGGAGGCGAGGGCTCACTCATAGGGCCACGAAGGTGGTGGGCCCAATTGGTGCTGGGGAGAGAGTGGGCAGAAAGTGTCCCTTGAGTGAGTTGGGAGCAGCACGCCCAGTGTCCCCTGAGAGGGGCTGACACCTCCCCTTCTGTCCCCAGTGATGCCTGCAGACCTACCTGCAGAGGGCCCCGTGGACCAGAGCTTAGCTGATGGGGATGAGAAGAAGAAGCAGCAGCGGCGTGGGCGCAAGAAGAGCAAACTGGAAGACATGTTTCCTGCTTATCTGCAGGTGGGTCTTTGGCTCTTTGCAGGGTGACGGTGCGTCTGCCCTGCGGAGCATGAAGAGGCCTATTTCTCTTACTCCTCCTGCAGGAAGCCTTCTTTGGGAAGGAGCTGCTGGACCTGAGCCGGAAGGCCCTTTTTGCCGTTGGGGTGGGCCGGCCCAGTTTTGGACTAGGAGCCCCAAAAGCCAAGGGGGATAGTGGCTCAGATAGGAAGGAGCTCCACACGTCACAGAAAGGTCAGTTATGTGGGGGTGAGGTGGTCTGAAAGGATCCAACTTCCCCTCTGTGCTTAGAGGCTGGTGAGGGGATTTGGTGGGGGACAGGCTGGCCTCCCCGAATTGAGGGTGGGCCAAGGCCCTGGCCTGTGGAGCTGGGGGCCCATTCTGGGCATCAAGTGTAGGGCATCTCTGACTAGAGTGGGGACTGTTGCTCATAGGAGATGATGCTCCAGATATTGCAGATGAAGAATCCCGTGGCCTGGAGGGCAAAGCAGATACACCAGGTGAGGGCTGCTGGGAGGACTGTGTCTTCTCTTGGTTTTGCTTCTGTCAACATGTTTTGCCCCTGAGCACCATCTGGTTGGCGGCTGGAAACTATTTCGTGCCCTCTGGGGTCCAGGGTGGCTAGTGTGGTGCCTCTGCACTGTCCTTGGTTGACAGGTTTCTCTTGGCAATTGCAGGACCTGAGGATGGAGGCATAAAGGCATCCCCAGTGCCCAGTGACCCCGAGAAGCCAGGCACTCCGGGTGAAGGGATGCTTAGCTCTGACTTAGATAGGATTCCCACTGAAGGTGAGGCTGTGGCCCACACTTGTCGTGTGTAAGGGTCCTCTGTGGGAGAAGGAGAAGGTCCTACCTGTGGGACTGCCATCTGTACAGCCAGCTTCTTTGGTGGGGAGTCCTGGGCACCTTCCCTGGCCATGGCCATTTGTGGCCCTGCAGTGTCCCGTCAAATCCCCAGTCTTCCTTAGCGGCATCCTTCATCAATCCCCCACAGAACTGCCCAAGATGGAATCTAAAGACCTGCAGCAGCTCTTCAAGGATGTTCTGGGTTCTGAACGAGAGCAGCACCTGGGTTGTGGAACCCCCGGCTCGGACGGCAGCCGTACACCGCTGCAGAGGCCCTTTCTTCAAGGTGATACGGATGGCAGTGGCATCAAGACTGGGTGTCCAGATTTGGCCAAGCTCACCCCCAGGATGGGCCTCTTGCTCTCATTCTCTGATCCTGTGCCTCTTGTAGGTGGACTCCCTTTGGGCAATCTCCCCTCCAGCAGCCCAATGGACTCCTACCCGGGCCTCTGCCAGTCCCCATTCCTGGATTCTAGGTTGGTATCTATGCTTAACGTCTGTGGACAGTCCCTGCTGTCCCTTCCCTCCCACTGGGGCCACGCCAAGGGAGGGGACCTTGGACTCCAGGGTGCTGCTGTAGAAACGCTTGTCTCTGCTCCTTTGTTAGTGGTCCTCCTTATGGGGGCAGGGCAGTGGCCTGGGAACTCTAGGCAGTTTGTCTGGGGTGGGGCTTGGCTTCCTTGCCCTCCGTGACTCTCTGCCCCTGCGCCCCAGGGAGCGCGGGGGCTTCTTTAGCCCGGAACCCGGTGAGCCAGACAGCCCCTGGACAGGCTCAGGGGGCACCACGCCCTCCACCCCCACCACCCCCACCACGGAGGGAGAGGGCGACGGGCTCTCCTATAACCAGCGGAGCCTTCAGCGTTGGGAGAAGGATGAGGAGTTGGGCCAGCTCTCCACCATCTCACCTGTGCTCTATGCCAACATTAACTTTCCCAATCTCAAGCAAGATTACCCAGGTACCCATGGAACGGAGGCAAGGGAAACAACCTGGGAATGTGGTGGGCACAGGGGTCACCTGCCAAGTTTCCTCTAACGAAATACCTCTGCCCTCCAGACTGGTCTAGCCGTT